ATTAATACTTTTGCCATAAAAAAAAACTGTAAAGTTATTTTGTTGGCGGACTTTGAGTTTTGATTGTGAACAAAAAGTGCGCTTAGCAACAAAAGCATTTTTGTGAATCTTTTTGTTTCTTATATGAATGAAGTTGAATTTCATAACATTTGGAAATTAGTATTGAATTTTTGGTAAATTTTTTGTAATTTTAAAATAATAAATGTATATTAAAACATTAAATAAGATTTCAATAAAATATGTGAAAATTTTATAGATTAATTTATGATGCCTACAAGTTTCAATTGCGCAAGCGACCCCATAAAATATATGTATCTTATAGTCGGGGTATGTCATACTTTCTTAAGTATTAAATTGGTGTTTTTAAACAATTTCCACTTATCCTAACATTATTTGGTTTTATGTATATACCTGTGTCTCAAATATTCAATTCTTTAATTTTACAGAAATTGCGAATACTGATCAATTCTAGACTTAAACTTTAAGTTATAAAAGTGTATTCTGAAAAAATTTCGGACGATTTTAAAATTTTAAGAAAATCTCCATGTGACTTATGAACAAGAAAGAAGGGAATAAAATAGTAATGAAATTAGCACGATATCTCTCATAGATTAGCGGAATCTCCGATTTGAATTTACCTCAATTCCTCAAAAAAACCTTTACAGAACATACAATTTCAGATGTGTGCAAACATACATCTGAAGTTTTAGTAAAATCGAATAATGTTACAACTATGAAGATTAAAGTCAAGCTATGTATGCAATATTGGGAAATTTTCTTTAAACCATATTAAAATATTATCTTGTTTTTAACCGATTCAAATGAAACTTAGGATGTTGATGATTAACCCTTAAACGTAAATATATTTTTATAATTAAGTATATAAAATGTCCGTAATATATGAACATTTTCGAGAAATTTGGGGTGATAGAGAAAAGTGCTATGTTTGGCTATGCCGAATCTAATATACCATCAAACCGTATGCCGTAAAAGGAATGCTCTCCTATAAACATCAGGGTGATATTACTCATCAAATTTACTGAAGAGAAGGGTGAATTATTGACTGTTTTTATAAAAATTTTCATAATTTTTTTTTAGACGGTGTTTGTTCATATAAAACATGTTTACATCGAATATCAGTTCCCGACACTTTCCGGTAGGAAGATTTACGTTCCTATAAAAGTTTCTTAGCTTTTGCCGTTAAAGTATTTATCTGGAGGGGACCTTATATGGGGATAGGGTCTATTATGGACCGATCCACATAAAATTTGCTAGAGAGGATTTTGCTCGTAAGAGACTTACTTATGCCAAATTTCATTGCTTTACTCGTATTTTTAAGAAAGTAATGAGCGTTAAGGTCGTTTTTTCAAGGGGACCTTATATGGAGGGTAGGGTCAATTATGGACCGATCCACATAAAAATTGATAGATTTTGGCTCGTATGGAACTTATGTGTATCGAATTTCATTACTATACTCGTATTTTTAAGACAGTAATTAGCGTTAAAGTCATTTTCTGAAGGGGATCTAGGGGGGTAGGGTCAATTATTTACCGATCCATATAAAATTGGTAGAGAGATTTTGACTCGCATGAGACTTATGTGTATCCAATTTCATCACTATATTCGTATTTTTAAGCCAATAATGAGCTTTATAGAGATTTTCCGAAGGGGACCTTATATGGGGGGTAGGGTCAATTATGGTCCGATCCGTATAAAATTTGGTAGGGAGTTTTTGGATCATATGAAACTTATTTATGTCGAATTTCATTGATACTTTTAAAACAGATATGCCCGTTAAAGCTGTTTTTCGGGGGTCCACTTGTATGGGGGCTATCCGAAACCGTGGACCGATATTGCCAATTTTCAATACCAAATAAACCTTATCTATAGAGAATATTTATGGAAAATTTCAACCCATTAGCTCATTCCGTTCGGACTCTATCGAGCTTTCAACAGACGGACATGGCCAGATCGGCTTAGAATTTAATAAGGACCCAGAATATGTATACTTTTATGGGTATGACCAATATTTCTATGTGTTACAAACGGAATGAAAAAATCAATATATATACATCTTTTTTGATGGTGGGTATAAAAACTGATATCAGATTCTGTTTCAGCAGCTAACCAATACATTAAAATCAGTCGAATTGGTTTCAAAGTTTTTACAAAACTTTCGTTGGCCTGTGTTATTTTTTCCATATATGTATCTTTAAACAATCAATAACTTGTTTAAACAGTCAATTTGTTTTTTATTTAATACATTTTTATTGCAATTTTTATATACATACATATTTTATTTAAAATGACTGAAATAAAATAATGAATTTTTAATTAAGGCCAATTATTCGCACTTATTGCGTACGTCTAATATGTAGTTATTTGTTCCTACACAAACTCAAATATTTAACCAGTAAGAAAATAATGTCGGGTATGCTCGACTATATGATACCTACACCTGCTAAGTTGTTGGTCAATTATGGTTTTAGTATAGCATTCATTATAAATATATTGTTATCGAATTCTATTACATAACCGATATTAATTCTAAAGCGATAACAATTATAGTATACGCACAATTGGGACGAACGACGAATTTTTCGCAACGAATATTCGTCGTCAGAAATAGAACACACTTGGGTATATGAAAATGTACACAATCATTGCGTATGACGAAATTCGTCGTACGTAACGAACTATGCGATAGGTTTATTTCTATTTCTTACGCAGACGAACGACGAATTAATTGGGGGAAATTTTTTTAAAACCAATTCCGGTAGCCAGAATTTGCTGAAATTTGGCGGTTGTGAGTTAATGATGCTAATGTGAGCTAATGACAATACAATATTATGTTCGAAAATTCGAAGTTATGTTCGAACAATTTTTTATGCTCTTAAAATAATCTCTGGGTCATAAAAACTAAAATTCTAAAAATTTTCAAAGCCATTAAAACCAGTTCTCGTGGCCCGAATTGTCTGAAATTTGGCAATCTGGAGTACACTTGATGACACTACAATGCTATGTTGGAATATTTAAAATTAAGTTCGAAAATTCGAAGTAATGTTCGAAAAAAATTTGAAGCTGTTAAAATAATCCCAAAATTGGGGATATTCACAAAAAATATAATTTTAGTTCTTTTCGAGGGCAATTTCTTACATTTTCTAATTTCGAAATAATGTTCGAATATATTTTAAAGCTGTTAAAATTATCTCAAAATCGTGGAGATTCACAAAAATATAATTTTTGTTCCTTTTTCTTACTTTTTTCTTACAAATTTTGAAACGAATTCGCAGTACGAATAATTTGATTGTGTTCCATTCGACGAATTTACGCAACGAATTTTTGTCGACTAGTTCGTCGTGCTATACGAAATTCGTCGTTCGTCCCAAGTGTGCGTATACCATTAAACTGTTTTGTAGAAGATGGCCCAATAGAGCCTTGGCTCAATTATGGAGCAAACTCTTCAGAGTTTGATAGAATTTTTAATAGTAAATCATACGATTAACGATAAACTGATTTTCTGATAAAGAGCTTGGAGGCTAATATCAAATATGAACCGATCCTTAGAGATGATTTGGAAAAGGTATTCCGGGTTGTTGTTCTGATGCCATACTTCACAGTATGATTTGTGTTTATATAGAACTCCTGGAGCCAAATTTGGTAGATCTGGATGCATAATTAACAAATTTATAAGTGTTAATTAATATTCTGAAGGCACAATTGTATCGGTCGAAATCTATAAGGTTCGTCCAAAAACAACATGTATACCAAATTTCAATGATGAATTGTCGAGCGCACAAACATCGCATTATCGACTCTGAAAGTGTTTTTGGCATATTTTAAGTACGATGAAACTCGGTTTTAACCATGGGCATAGATAAAGTTCACAAATCTATATATGTATATAAAAATTAATGTGTGTTTGTATGTTTGTATATTTAAAGTTTTGAAATTTTCACAGTGTCTTCCTGTATGTCTGGAAGAGGTTATAGGCTAATTTTTATTTGAAATTTCAAGTGGGCGAGGTGTCACGCCCATATTAAGAGAATATTAAATCCGTATATTTGAGATAATATAACAGAGTCCTCAAATTTTGTCGGAGCCACTTTAGTATCAATATGATTATTTAGGACAAAAAGTGGGCGGAGTAGCAGCAGGGAGCGTGGCACCTCCCAAAAAATTCATTTATCTTGGAAACCTTAAATTTGGAAATTTTGCACGATGAACTTTAACATCCATGTAAATAATTTGAGTAAAAAATTGGCGGACTACCAATGAGGGGAGCGGCACCTCCCATATGAATTAAATAGAAAAATTCGTATAACTATTAGAGCTAGAATCTTCAAATTTTACATGAAGAACTATGACATTCATGAACATTTAGAAAATAACGGGCGGACTTTCAATGGGGGGCTTAGCACCTCCCATAGGAATTAACTACAAAATTTCGTATATATGGGAAACTCTTAGATTATTCAAATTTGTCATAGATTATATCAAAACTTTAATTAACGTTCGCAAATATTGGCAAACTTGCAATAATTTGCGTGGCATCTCTCATATGTAAAATATTGTATATCTGGAATACTATTATATTTAGAACATTCACAATCATTTAGTGTAGCAATGCACACTGAGTATAACTAGTAATTTATAAAGATATTAACTGTACTTAAAAATTTTGCAAAAGACTGTATTAAAGTAGTCATTATCGCATAATGATCTTACATTTTTTTGTTGCTTTCATATAAATTTGAAAAAACAACAATAATTACTATAATATACGCACATCGAGAATTACTGACCAGACCGCCAACAAGACAATCCATCAAACTAAGTACGTCTATTGAGTATTTCAATATTGTTTGTTATTGCGTTTGAACAACAAATAAACAAGATTTGTTTTTTAATATAAATTTAATTAAATTTTAAAATAATAAAAAACATCTACGATTTGTTGTAGTATTAATAATTACATTTCCCTGTTTCAATAATTCTAGATTACAAAACAAACAAATCGAAGAGAATATATTGAAAGAGACAAAAATATCACGTGAACATTTGACACCGGAAATATCACTGTATTTAATAACACCTGAATGTAGACTTTTTCACGAACCTCAACTGGATGTGGAAAATCGTATATTTGAAAATGATCCATTTTGGGCATTCTATTGGCCGGGAGGTCAAGCTTTAAGCAAGTAATTAGCCCACAATTTTAAAAAGATATTAAATTTTATGTTTTCAAATGATCTCTTGCTTTTCAGATTTGTTTTGGAAAATCCAGATGTGGTTAGGAACAAGTCCATTTTAGATGTAGGCAGTGGTTGTGGTGCCACTTCTATAGCTGCAATAATGAAAGATGCAAAATATGCTGTAGCTAATGATATTGATGATGGTAAGTATAATATGGAATGGTCCAAATACTTTGTATATACTAATATGGATATACAAACATATGACATCTGAAAAATATATTATATATCATTATATATATATATCATTAACTTTGATTTCTTCTATTACAGCTGCCAGCTATGCTGCTCTGCTCAATGCAAAATTAAATGGAATTAATTTAGAAAAGTTACAAACCTCAAGTGATAATTTAATTGGTTCGAATATTTCCGAAGATATTATTTTCATAGGTGACCTATTCTATGATGAAGAAATTGCTGAAATTCTTTTGCCATGGTTGCACAAGTGTAGCAGTGAGGGTAAATTAATTTTTATTGGTGATCCCGGACGTCATGGTTTAACGGAGAATCGTTTGAATTTTATGAAAAAATTAACCACCTATAAACTGACTGAAAATTGTTGTATAGAAAATAGAGGCTTTAAGTATGTTAATGTTTGGAGATTTCAATAAAGTTTAAGAACAATATAATATTGCAAATAAATTTATTTCGTTTAATGTCAAATTATAGATATCTCAGTCTCCATCGGAAATATCCGGTAAATTGTGAGAAATTGCTTGATTACCTCGGTATTTTTAAAAAACTTGGATATAAACTAAAACTTATTGCAAAATCCAAGGAAACATTTTTCTAAAGTTGTCAAAATATAACAACTGATTTTATGGCAACAACACCAAAGACTTCCCCGAAATAATGAGGCACTACTAATACACCTTGTTTGGGTCTAAACCAAGAAGATTTTCCCTAAATTCCACCATTTTCCATATTCTTGTATAAAGATAATTCATTAAATGCAGATAACTACCAATTGTTAACCTGATAATTCCCCGACATAGGAAGAGGCAATCCCCTAGTACTGAATTGTTGGAGAGACAACCAACAGGTTCAGTGTATTCCTCAACACTAGTCGCGCAGCCACATCAGTCTTTAGTATTTGTGTAGTCTGCAGCAGGGCACAGACTCACGTGTTTCACTACGATGAGTCAATCGACTCCTCCAGTTTAAGGTGTCGGCTGATCCTAGATGTTAGTAGTATCTCTAGTCTCTGAGATTACAATAACACCATGATGGTAGATGATACAGATAACATGTCTCGGAGGATATTTTAGTCAGCAATTTACTTAAGAATCGTTATAATAGCTTCCATAGCGATCGATCTACGGAAAGCCAATTAAGTTTCCTTTTTAGAAAATGTGCAGTTTTAGAGACAGTAAACTTATTGCTCTTTTAATAAGTTCAGGAAGGTAAATCAATCATGAGTAGCTCACATGGGTCCACCTAGTTGCTGCCCCGTTGTGATACCCTAGTGGTCGTAGGAGTCCATTTAAGTATTACTCTCTACTTCCAGATTAAAACCAGCCGGTTTGATTCACAAAGTTTAGGATATTTTTAAGGCATATCCCAGATAGCTCATCCAAACAAGATAGAGCAGCAAAGCCAAAATAATGTTCCCTGCTTTCATTGAATGATAAGCAATGGTGAAGGTGAGGTATTGTTTCCTCTTCCGCCTCATTATTACAACTCCTAAAGTAGTCTTAATATTCGAGACCCATTCTTCTGGCATGATTGTCAATTGTACAGTGTCCCTTTATGACTGATGTGTTTCCTGCGAAAGCATAATAATAAGCTTGGACAGAGGCCAAATTGACATCGAAGTGAGGCAGGTGGTTTCACTGAACCATCAGAGTTGATCCATTTCATATAGTTCAGGATGTACCAGTGACTTACAGCTTGTAAGGGAGATACCAGTAAATGCGTCGATTTCATCTTCACCTCAGCCAGTTGGCGACTCGTTTGATAGCAGATAAATCTGCCTTGTTCAGGACGACGATCACATGTCCTGAAGGTCCATTAGCCTCTGAAACCCTTATAACTTTGCAGTCTCCAAGATCTGTTCGGGGTGGGGAGTTCTGACGGTCGAGGCACTACATCCCATACCTCACCCAAAAGTGAAATGACAGACTTGAGCAGCACCGCAAAGCACAAGTCATTAATTTAACGTGACCCTGGAACCATCCAGCGTCATCGCATTGAGGAGGAGTGCCTGGGTTCTTTTGTCAGAACACTCTTATTAGCTTTTGCTTCATCACATCCCAGTTAGACTGGGATATGGATCCGACCGCGTCGCTTCGCTCAATGACGGCTCGACCAAGGCTGTTTTTGGCAACCTCGCTGAAAGAGCGCGTCATGTACTTCTTCGCGAGTTTAGGACGTTTCGTCCCTAGCTGCTGGCTTGCAGATGCTGCTTTTTCCTCTCAACGTTCCGCTTTGGCGCCGCTTACGTTTTCACGATTCGAAGTTCCTGCTGCAGCCCAAACCGCTATTAAGGCCTTGGCTGCAGCAGCTTTGGAGGTACTTGATGAGAAGTCCAGATGTACCTCGCCACTTGGTGAGCAACTACGAATAGTTTTGAATTTGTTACATTCAGCCAGCCTGAGGTGTGCCAAACTGACCTCCTGCGACGATGGTAGCTCGCAATCTAGCCTGACCCGGTGTATCCGCCTGACTAGATTGGGTAACAGTCGCGTTCGACTTTCCACAGCCCATTACCGACGCTGTGGAAGTAGGGTCGCCAGAGATTATGAATTCCCTGACTCGAGGCATGCCTCTTTCTTTTCCTCCATTTTTTTTTTTTTTGTCATACTGACAGGTGCATTTTTAACCTACTGCCAGATTAAACTAGCCGAACAATATGGGAACAGACGCTGGTAGATTTGGACGGACAATACACATCGTCTGATGTCTGTCCCATAGAGAAACAGACGCTCCCAGACAGGGGGAGGACAGTTTTTAGTTTCACGCTCAAAGCAGACCTGTCTGGAATGGGTGACAATACCAGGAATAGCAAATTGTAATGGCCATTCCCTCCAGCATAGCTCTACAGATCATTGCTCTTTAGCATCTGCATCACGTCAAGATGACTACCCATCGCAGATAAGAAGTCATCAGGAAACAAGTCAAAGATATTACGCTGGTAGATAGATATTACGCTAACTAAATTATGATTTTCGAATTGATGATGCTTTTAGAATGTTCTTGGCTCTTGAAAGGAATGGACGCAAGTTAGATCGTATGGTTAATCTGCTCTACAAGAACGGAGAGTAATATTCAAAGCCTCTTTCATATCAAACATTTGATCATCTTTGTTGTTGGAACTGTGAAGGAAAACATGACTCGTTTATTTTATATATTGTTACAAAGCACAGCCATAATTTAAATTATGCTTCATTATTCTATCGATATGGCAATGGAGTATGTTCTACTTAAATATGAGAACTTGTATCCGATTTCCGCAAATTACGCAAATCACTCTTCTTTCGGTAAGATCTCTCTGCAAAAGTATTTCCTATTTATACATTTTGGTGTTTATACCCTACACACTATAGTGGGGAGGGTATTATACGTTTGTGCTGATGTTTGTAACACACAAAAATATTGGTCCTACACCCACCTTTAAGAATACCGATAGACTCAGAATCACATTTTGAGTTGATAAAGACATGTCCGTCCGTCTGTCCGGCTGGCTGGCTGTCCATGTAAACCTTGTGCGCAAGGTACAGGCCGCAATTTTCAAGATAATTTGATGAAATTTGGGCCAAGCATGTTTTTTGGCACAAGGACGAAGCCTATAGAAAATTGTTGAAATTATTTCACATAGCCCCCATACAACCGTACCTCCCGATTTGGGCTTTTTATGCCCTAATTACGTCAAATATGCTATTATCTCTCTAAAAATTGGCACAAATAAGTTTTATATAAGTATAAATGACACTGCAGATTTTCGTAATGATCGGCCCTTATTTGACCCTAGCCCCCATACAAACCCCCCTTCAAAAAATGTCTTAAACGTTTAAAATTGACTTGTAACCATTTGTATCGCAATGAAACTCAACATAATTAACTATTATTTAAAAATACATCCTGTTCCCAAATTTAATGAGGATCGGCCCATGTTTTACCTATACTCCTATATAAAGCCTCATTTAGAAAATTTGTTTTTTATCAATAAATTGCTTAAATACTTTGGAATTAAGGTAAAATTCAACATAAAAGTTTCTTGTGAAAAATAAAAATTTTTAAAATATACTCATGGTGTAGGGTATTATATGGTCGGCCATGCCCGACTATACTTTCCTACTTGTTTTTAGATAGACACTAAAATATCATGGATATATTTCTAATTAATAGTACAAAAAGATAACTTATTAGGGTAATTGGGTAACTTATATGAAGAACATTAATACTTCCAAACTCATTAGAGCAAGTGATCATGAAAGTACACATTATCATAAACACTCGCCCATACGCTTAGATCAGATCCCTTCGGCTAGTAACAAATATAATAAAATTCACAAGATATATCGTTAACATTTAGTTTTGTTTTATTTTCTTGCATTTTAAGAGCATCTTGAATGTAAATTTTACAATTAATAATCAAATTTCAATTGGTTTCTTACTATTTGTGAATATTTAAATATTTATTTCTTTTTATTTATTCACGAGTATTTACTTTAAATTCTAATCAATAAACAACTACAATGTTTGCGAATTACATACAAACATTTTCTTAGCTTAATTCTAATTTATTGTAGTTTTTATAATAATATATTACAAATGATTTTATTAGTTTTTTTGTTTTATGATAAATAAAATAACCACAATTTTTAAAATGTGGAAAAGGGTTTAATACAAAAAAAAATAGTTAAAAACAAAAAAGGAAACATTTAAAACTTAATAAATGTTTTTCTTTTACAATTAATTTGTTTACAGTTTTTATATTAATATTATTTTATAATATAAGACTTAAAAGTAATTAATGTTAAATTAATGTTATTTATTAATAAACAAAATAACTTACACGTGTATTTTTATAAATTGAGGAAGAAACAATTTTATTATTTTAAATTAAAATCATTTTTTTTTAATTGAAATTATATTTTTTTAATTTAGCGCCAAAATTTGAAGAACTTTAAATTTTGAAATACATTTATAAATCTGCAAATATAAAAGAATAGGTTTTATATTAAAAGACAAAAGTTTTTGTTTAATTTAACAAATCAATGTTTTTGATCTGTTAAATTTGAAAATTTTAAAGAAACAATTAAAAATAAGTGTAACAGCTCTTGAAGTTATTTTAAAGTTGAAATTTTGAATATTTTATTTAACAATTAAACTAAAGATTAAATTAAACTAATGGAGGGCATTTTAAACATTATAAAGGTAATAGATATAAAGAACTTTTTCATAAAATTTATTAAAAAAGAAATTTAAAAAATTAAATTTATGTTAGAGGAAAGTTGAAATTTTTAATTTACATTATGACTAAAGAAAAGTAAACGATATCCTATAATATTTCCAGTATCTGTGCTTTTCAAGGTTCAAAGACACTGCTTTTGTAATGAGAAGTTGTTGGAAATATGTTCACAACACGATAATCTCAGTCGTGATAGATTCATCCAAAAGTAACCTC